TGGCAGGTTACTCACTGGGCTACGGACGCAGCAGAAGAAGCCCTAGCACTGTTGACAGTGGCCACAGCGACAGACCATGTGGGGGAACTTCAACAAGCTCAACCAGATGTGGGGGACGCACTCCCACGACTGCGCAACCTCCTGGATGAAGCAGCAACAGGAGTAGGAGTCCTAGTGGGGATCTACCCACATCGGGGAGAGGCGGAACAAGTTCACCCAGCAGATGCCATAGCCCAACAAGAGGACCGGCACCAACAAGTTCAACATCCTCGCCAAGACCCGCCAGATGCCCTACATATTTACAAAGCGCAACGCCACCTACGTCAACTCGTTCCCTTCCTCGACGGGGACATGCGGGAGCTGGGGAACAAAGCGCTCACGCACCTGGGGGACTGGATCCGGTCCCATTGGGGGGAGTCGGTCCAACTCCTCAGTAGCGACGACGAAACAAGCCAACCAGAGCGAGAACGTCCCGCACAGCCAGCAGACCACGAGGACGAGGGGAGCCCAAGCCTCGGGGGGGTCCCATACGCAAATGAGGGGGCAGCTGAAACACTCATGGACCTGACGAGTGGGGCGGCCAGTTCCACGACCCCTTTTACACGATCAGCCGCACCAAGACCTGAGGGGGAACAGCATGAAGCCCCCAGTGAGCCTAGGAGCCGCAGAAGGAGAGGGTTCACCAGCCCAAGCTCGCTCGACAACGACGATTAATGTTCTGTCGCCTATGCAGTGTCCTGATGTTTAACTTGCTTTCCTAAGGGGGGCATCCTGCGTACATGTCAGCGAGCGAGGGTGTAAGACCGCAGCTTATGGCATCTTGCTCCCAAAGTGGCCAGGTTCTCAGAGGGAAGTTGGTGTGTTTTGTGGATGTGCAGCAACCCCCGTAAGGGGGGAACGAGAAGCCATAGCTGGGAGTAGAAGTTCGCAGAACCGCAGGGGGACTGTACCCCATGAACAAAGGCAGGGGGGCCAACCAACTAAGGACTGTTGCTCTTGTAATAGTCGCTGTTTTCTTGTTTCTGTTCACGGTGTGTATGCAGCCCTGCCGACTGAGTCAACAGACACGGAATATTCAGAAACCCGTCAGTGTAGAGGCTTCGGGGGTGGGAAGGTAACAGGCAGTGCTGCTGCAAGGTTCTGTTCGGGATGAGGTCGGGAGGCAGGTAGGTTGGGTTACTCCGGTAGAGTCCATGTTCATGGGGGAGCCAGAAAGTTGTGTGCTAGCTTAGCTTGATGCCTGTTGTAATTGCCTTTGTTGCGTCGAACTGGCACACCCCACATCCTCCACAAAGTGGAGCTCAGTGGAGGGACTGACGTAGGATGCAGCGTGGATGACCCAGGGGGAGCACACGTCGTGGGTTCTACTACTTGGTCAAGGTCTTAGGAGGGGTGTTTCGGGGGAGGGTAAAGTGTGCCCACCTGGAGGGAACACAGCTGCAGAGCCCCAATACGGGGTAGCCAAGACAGAACAGTCGCGCGCCGTTGAGGGGTTGGCCCTCGGGCCGGGGGTCGCTGACCCCAAACCCCCAGCAAGCAAGCAAGCAAGAGAGAGAGTGAGAGAGGGGGACAGAGCAAACTGCGGTTGTTTACCTGAGTTGCTTCCAGTGAATAACTGTTCCGGGAGCACCAGGTCCCCCGAAGACCTGCCTGTACGGGGGCACACCAAACCTTTCACAACGTTACAGCTGAGCCCTTTCTGCCAACAGGGTGGATGGGGATGCGCCTTGAGCGCGAGTCAGGAGGACTGCTCTTGGCTCTTACCCCAAGCAAAACAAACGGGCGACAGAGAGAGTGCCTTGAGGGCCTGACACGCCCCCTGAAGAGAGAGTGTTGCTGTTGTTGTTGACTACTACACTCTCCTTTAGTAAACCGAGACGTTTGCCACTACCGCTGTCTCCACTCCCAAAAGGGGTGCGCCGAAGCAAAGGGGGGAACCCCTGAGCCAAGTGAGACGAGGGAAAGCCCTCAGGTGTAGAACATTTGCAGCATTCCACGATGTTTAAAAATATGAAAGGAGGGACCCCGCTGCTTAACCGTATTCCGAGGCTTCCGCTTCCGTTCGGAATACAGGCAGGGATGAGGCAGGTAGGTGGGGTTCAGAGAGGGTCACGTGCAGCACAAAGTACAGGCAATTGGTGCAGTCACTTAGCTCTTAACTTTGGAACAAAAAGGGAGAGCTTCACTCGAGCCGCTGACATGCAAGGCGCGAATACTGCCGTCATGGCAACATTGCAGGCGCTGGAGGAGGCGAAGCCAGCAAATTCATGGTTTGTAGTTGGCCGTGACGGTCCAGTTTTTGGCAGGGATTAGCCGCCGAGTTGACCGGGCCCCATAGCCAGAGCAGACTGCCCTCATCATGGAGAGGGGCGCGTGCCCTGGTCGCAGTTGAGCAATTTCCTGGTTCGTTCTGCGAACTTTCAGTGAGCTGTCGGTGCTATATAGTGCGTGTTCTGGGGCGGCCGTCCTGCCGAAAGGTTTCACAACCAAGCAGACGTACTACTGGTCGCAACTCGTCTTAGTTTTGTCGACAGAACAATTCGACAGACATCAGGCCGACTGCATCCTGTTGCTGCTGCCGCATGTTAGGACAGTCATTGTTTGGCGCGAGACGCAGTGGCAGTGGCTCTCCGACTCGGTTGCAGCGGGCAGAGTTGTGCACACTTCCTGGCGGCAGCCAGATGAATGGCTGCGCTTTGGTACGACTGACTGCAACACAGAGTCGCCTCTTGTGATACCTGGGCCCGAGTATGTTCTCACGCGAGATGCTCGGCAAGCATGGCGTGTCCTGATAATTTGGCGACATTTATGTAGTTGTTAGTCGTGAGGGCTTTTACAGGTCATTTCTCCGTTGTAAGTCCTTCGCCCTGCTTTGTATTGCAGGAGACGCACTTCACTGGCCTGCGTGCCTTGGCTAGCTTCGCATGGTGTCAAGTTTTGAGGTTCTAAGTTTCCGAGCCAGCAAGTCTGCTATAGACTGCTTTGCTTTGTCGAATCAGGATTTGCCGTGTTGGTAGCCCTTCTACAGGTATCTTGGCAAAACAGAAGTTGCGTACTCCAACGACGAAACATAAAAGTTTTAAAAGCTTTTGTTTCGAGTAGCAGTGGTGACACCAGTCGTTCTGGCAAAGGAGCTGCGCCTTCGCAGAGGAGGAGGGAACCTCATCATCGTTGAAGTTGGGGTCTTTTTGGGGCAGCTGTCGAAGTTCATTCTTGACGCTTGCCTACGATCGTCGCGCAGAAGCTAGATGGGCTTGCTTCGTGCACGCAGCCGGCAGCTTGATTTCCTGTCAGGATCACTGCGATTTCGTGCAGCTCATTGGCGTTGATCCATATTTGGGTGCCGATGGCACCTTTCCTGGCAACTTCGATTCGGAACTACATCCGGAGGTAGCTTTCCATCATGCTTCCAAGTTGTATGCTTCTTTCGGCGACAGGCAGGGTTTCGTGTCACCTGTTCAGCTCTGACTTGACAGGATTGTCCGGTAGAAACTCTTTCTTGACACCTCCCTGGAAAGCCGCCTCACATTGTTCCTCTTCGTCACTTCCTGAATGTTGCGAGGGCGCTGCTTCTACGAGCAACGTCTCTCGAAGCTGCGCAGTCCCTGCCTGACAACAGCATCGATGCGGTTTTCATCGATGGCTGCCATTACTACAACTGCGCACCCCTGCTGCATGTTTCGTTTTTCAGGAGCCTCACGGATTGTCCCCCAGATTGCAGTGACAAGTGGCATTTTCCTTTACTGATGTACAGAGCATGTGCAGGCTCGAGTGCACTAAGCACGCCGCATTTTGGGCTAAGCAACCGCAACTCACTGGCTAAGATGCAATCAACCTTAAGAAGAACGTGCTACGGCAAGATTCTCAATCCGCAGATGAGTCTTGCCCCAATGTATGCCTATCAAACATCATCTCATGTCTCTTCCAGGCAGCTCCTTTCCCAGCTGTATTCAAAACATGTCACAACAATGCCGTCAGCTTTTGGGTCAACCTCTACAGGCACCCGGACACATCTGGATCACATGCAACAGTACACTCGATGAGGGCGCTGATATGCGCTGATGCTATCCCGAGGTGAAGTCCGATTTCGCTGCTTGGATGCCGAAGCTGCGTGCTACAGCCGAGACTTTGGTGGCAGGCCATGACTTCTCGCCCCAATGGCCTGGTGTTGTGCGTGCAGTGCAGGAGCAGTTGCTCGATTTGCAGCCTGCAAGAGCTTCTCTGAAACTTGTAGGAAGGCTGTAACAACCTGGCTCTTCAAGTGCTGGGCGTAAGAAATCTGATTGACGTCCCGCATGGTCAGCCTGACCTAAGGAGACAGAACCACAAGATCGTGACACTATCCACTGATTGGTTGTTCTGGTGGTTTGATCGGCAGCAAGAAACTACAGGAGCACATGAAGGGCAGAGCGCGGGCTGAATGTTTATGCATGGCTCGTGCTGCTCCGCAGCTTGGTGGCAAGTGATTTTTCAGACCGTTGGGCGCTAGAGGGCAGCCTTTCCGTGACTCCTGCAGCCCTTGTGAATGGAGGATATTCCGAATGGTCTCATGATCTGAGACTTCCGACGAGGGCCTTATGTACAGCGACACATACCGACCTGGACACTGCGCGATGCCTGGATTCTTTTCGGCCTTGCCGAAGTCACCTTCCTCCACTCCCTGGACCTCCACAAGTGCTGTCTATGCTTGCCTGGCGTCGCCCTTGAGATCTACCTTCACTGCCCGCTACTCCGCCAAGAGTTTCAGGCTCTGCAGACAAAGCGATGCATGGACATCACGAGCTTATGGAATCCTGTGCTTTGGACACGTGTGTGCAGGCCTTTGACTTTTCAGTGTCAGCTTTACGAAGAAAAACTGCGCCATTCTCGGGTTGAAAGCTTCATGGAGAGTGGGGCGGGTTCCTGTGGCACTTCCTGTGCAGTGGCGGTTTCGTAAACTGGCAGAGACAGAGAATGGCAGGAGCCGCAGCTTCTATTTTGGCTGGGGCTTGAGAGCTTAGTACTGTCTTGATATGTCTTGATAGTGCAATAGCACACCCGCCCAGTATCTAAAATTGATCAAAATCAACAATCAAGCTGCTTGCTTCAAAGCCAAGTTGTCATCTGGCGACGAGCAGTCACGCGAGTTTGCCAGAGATTGCAGACCGGCCGGGGCCGAAGCAGTTGGTGTTCAGTGTGTAGCGGCCTTTTTAAAACCTGTGCGCTTGCTGAGATTGAAGCTGATGCAAACAGATCATTCAAGCAATGAGAATGACAGTTAATGTCCAGCGTAGCGGCCTGTATTGCGTAGTGAGCCTGCTAACAGATGCTAACCTTTCCACGACCACACTCAACACGCCAGCATAGTCATAGCCGTCCACCAGTTCACTGGTGGCATGGGGAAGAAGTCCGGAGGCGGCAAAAAGGGGAAACCTGTACAAACAGTGAAGAGCTTAAAGGCGAAGGCGAAGGCAAAAGGCCGAGGCCAAGGAAAGGCCAAGGCCGAGAGTGTCCGCCAGCAGGCTCGGCATGAAGCCAAGGAGGTAACGCGAGCCTCGCGAGGAAGACGCCGTGCCCACGGAAAGGAAGAGGCAATCAACGAGACACGTCAGCGCTTGCGTACGAAGCTGCTGCAGAGGCAACTGACCCGAGGTCCGGCTGCAAAGCCTGGGGAAGAGCGGCGCGGAGTCTTGGTGGAGTTGGCAAAATTGCAAACCGAAGCCGGGCAACAGAGATCGGCCATTAAGTTGCTCCAAGAGGCACTGGACATGTCTCCAGACGATACCGATTTTCAGGTTCGCACACCGTTGCTGGCTCTGTATATGGATCGTGCGATGACAGAAGAAGCATCATCGATGCTGAAGGGTCCCCTTTTTGAAATGGGAGCAGATGCTGAAGCTGCGAGCAATGCAAAAAGAGAGGCTGCAACGGTCGGGCTCTACTCCTTGGCTCTTCTAAGCTACATTAAAATCCACGTTCTACAAGACTGCAAGAAAAAAGATCGCGATGGCAAAAAGGCTGAGGTGTTGCAACGACTTCAAGCAGCTCATCGCCACAACCCTTTCGTCGCCGAGTACATAGCCTTCGCACCTGCCTTTGAGCAAGATTTCCCGTTGGGTTGCGAGCTGCCCCCAGCAGCATCGGAAGGAATCTTGGAAAGAAAGCTTTTGGAAGCGCTGAGATATTGCTGTCAGCTGGGCGGGCGTGGCCAGATCTCGGTTTGGCAGGATTCCGGCCCGTTTGTTCGCAAATTTGTGCGTGAAGCTCTCTTTGAGGGCGAGGCTGGCCCAGATGCTACGACAGACGTGAAGGGTGACGAGACAGAAGTCGACGAACCCCCTCCTCTTCCACCGCTTCCGGCCGCATCGTCCCAGGAGCCTCCTGTGCTGACTCGCTGGAGACGTGCGCGTGAGGCAGCGATGCAGCTCTGGGCATCCGACATCGCTACTGAGGCCGGACTTGGCGAAGGCCAGGAGGAGTGTGAAGAGGAGGAAGTCAGTTTTACAGATGATGATGCAGTGGATGATGATGTTTGCTGACACACGCAAAAAAGCAGCCGCACAGCAAGAGCCAGTAGCTATGATGCAGTTCTGCTAGCTCGCATAAACGGTCCAAGACATGGTTCAAAGCTTCGGCTCAAAGGGCCCAAGCAGTTTGTGAGGAGGCAAAAAGCAAGGTTTTCAGGCGCAGCCCGGGAAGGCCGCCAGGCTTAGGCCATGTGAAGGGCAGAGCCGCAGAGTAGAGACAAAAAAGAGCTGGAGAACCAAACATGGGGGATGATCGGCCGTCCGCGGCCGCGGCCTCATGTGCCTGGGGCGCATGCCGGAAGATCCTTGGCTTCAGAGCAAGTCTGTGCGAAAAAGGGAGAACCGTTTCCCCGCGGAGACCACGACCTAAGAGGCTGCGCGCCTTAAGCGGGCTAAGTGACAAAGGTCAGGACCTCGGAATCACTTCCTTGCATCTGTTATAGTAACCCCGGAATACCTCTGGTGGCAAACTGCTTGGCCCAAGCAGAGATCGCCACGGTTTGCAGTCAGCATGGAAGGATGGAAGGCTAACAGGTTGCAAGGCAGATGAGGAATGCTGGCGTTCCAAAAGAGTTTTAGATGTCGGGCATTTTCTTCTGATTGCCCATTGACCCCAGGTGTCCCCGAAGCCATGCAACTTGGCCACATTGTCTCCTGCAGCAATGTGTGCCGAGTTTGCATCTGACCTGAATACTCAGGCGCAGAATCTCACGTCCTGTCGAAGGCCCTCTTTTTTTGTGTGCCCATGCATCGTGCAGTGTCAGCCTCGATGCCGCTGTTTGAGGCCTTGAATCGAGCAGAAGGGTTGCACAGCGAGCTGCTGCAGCGCCTGTTCCGGGAGGTGGGCGGTCGGCAAAAAAACAAGCGGGCTTGGCTTCTAAAGTTATGAGGCGATGTCTGCTGCTTTGAGAACATTTGCGAGTATTTCCGGCAATACCCCTTAGATGAAATTCTGGATATCTAAGCCCGCAGCATGAGACAAGTTGAGGACAGGCCGGCCGAATGGAGGTGTGTAGGCCGACTGTACGTAACCAAGCAGGAATAATGCTGCCTTGCCGCCTAGCCGCCTATCCGCTAGCCGCAGGCGCGTGGCCTCACAGAGAACGAGCTCTACGAGCGTCTGGCAGCCTGGGAGGACCCAAGATGGGGAGCCCACGGCTCATGCGAGTGTTGGGGGTGTACCGAGTGCACAGGACAACAGCGATGATAGTGGGCTGCAGCAAAGGAAGCAAACAGAGTCAACCTTGCGAGGGGAAGCGTCTGACTCAGCGATCCTATTGCAGTTCCTTGCAGTGCGGATTCTGTGCTGGATGCTTATGCAGCCGAAGCATGTGGCTGAAATGATGCTTTTCTCTGAAAGAAGGTCTTCAGACTCCAGAAGGAAGTGTCGCAGCTGCGAGACGAAGCATACGCAGCAAAGAAGAAGGCAAGCTCGAGAGCGATATGGACATGGACAATGCTTGATTTCTCTTGATTTGCTAATGCATAAGAAGTCAAGGCCATGGACGCCGAGCTTGCGCAAGTGAAGACAACGGAGAAGATCGAAACGGGGCATGAATCGGGGAGCTGGCAGTATGGACAGCGTGCAGTCTTACTGTCAGTACAGAGTTCCATGCCAAGTGATGGTGCACTGTCAAGGAAGCCCGAATGAGTCTTTCCCGGCGCCAATTGCAGTCAATAGCGCGTGGCCTGCCTTGGGCTAGAAAAGCGACGGAAGATGCAGAATATGACTGACAGCTTTTTGTGTTGTTGTTGTTGTTGTTGCTGCTGCTGCTGCTGCTGTTGCTGCTGCTGTTGCTGTTGCTGTTGCTGTTGCTGTTGCGGTTGCTGTTGCTTGTGCTTGTGCTTGTGCTGTTGCTGTTGCTGTTGCTGTTGCTGTTGCCGTTGCTGTTGCTGTTGCTGTTGCTGTTGCTGCTGCTGTTGCTGTTGCTGTTGCTGTTGTTGTAGCCGCCACGGATCAGACGGTCGCGTAGCTGAGGCTTTCGAACTGGGCCCGAGGCGCAACGTTCTTATCTAGAGGTCCAACCAGACCCCCAGGGCTACGTAAGACGTTGTGCCTGCCAGAGCCATGTGCCTCCACTTGTGCTAAGCGTCTGATCCGCCGGGTCCCAATTCCCGGCCCACGAC